CAGCAAAATACAAAGATTACTTAGGTGCATTTTATCTGCTGAATCAATAGGATTTACTTAGTGCTAATGCACTAACCAGATTATGAGAACTAATGCAGTACTGTTCAATGACAAAAGCAAATAACTCTTTGAATGATCTTGACAAACGAACATGAAATCATCTTAATTTGTATTAACTAATTGCATTTAACATGGATGTTTTTTACCTATTACCTTAAGTGAAGCATCAGTACAGAAACTTCCTTCCCTCATCTCATTTGAGCAGTGAAGTAGATCAGAGCAAACAGTATTAAGAGTTAGTGGAATGATACTATGTAAAATTTTACATCAATGGAGTTCTTTTTTAAAAAGTATTCTCAGAAAGGGATTTACTTTCTCTCTATTTTATTAAAAAGAAAAATCTTCAAATTATTTCCAAATAAATGAGCATTATTGGGAAGAGGAAGGAGGAAGGAAGAAGAGGGAAACAATTCTTTGTTTAAAACAAAAAAGGAAACAACTCTTCTAACTTTCAGAGTAAAGCTTCAGTGCCTCAGTACAAGTTCTTAGAAACAGAAAACCCAGTCCCCTGTCCCAGATGTGTTCACTGAGTTCACAGCACCTACACACCCTCAAGGTATTGTTCACTGGTCAAGAAGAAATCAGAAGCTCGGTGGATCTTCTTCTATGGGAATTGTTTACCATATGAATTAGTGTCCACTGGCAAAATTGAAGCATTCAATATTACTTGTTTTTTCCTTCCCTAGAATCACAGCAATCATAATTACCATGATGATGATCAAGTCACTCTCATCCTCAGGCAACAATCTGGCTTTACAGAATTATTGTGGCCAGAATGCCATTCTTGTATTTCTCATGGAGAGAAGCAGTGACCACATGTACTTCTCACTTGAAGAGAAATACTGCAGACTACCCAGAAAATTCAAGTGTATTACAGAACAGCAAAACTGTGTTGGCTAAAAATACACAACGATATTTAGAGAGGAAAATCTGATAAAGTTCTTCTGTGTTCCTCATGGTTACTTTTCCTGTTCAGAGTCTGCTGTACCTGTAAATTCTTCACCATTATTTTGATTATTTGATTCCAACATGACCCAATCCTGAAGCCTGTAGTTTTATTATTTATCTTAATTCATGGACTTCCACAACAGAAGGGATAAGTAGCTTATTCACTCTCTCAGGTTTTAATTGTCTTGGGAACCAATTTATGTAGCATCATCTATTCATCTGCTCTACAGCAGTTTCTTTGAAAAAGGATTTTTGCCATTTGCAGATATCTGGATCCAGCTCGTTTAGCAGTAGCTCATTTCCCCCTACTCCATGTTATGCTGATGATCTTAAGGGTCTTTTCGAACCTAAAGTATTTCTTGACTCTATGGAAGGAGAAACACTCTTAGCACTTTTCAGTGCCCAATTCTCTTGAGGGAGACTCCCAGAATTCATAGCAGAAAACAAAAGTTGGTACTTATGATTTTGATTCCAACAAGTTAAAAGCCATATAAACAAACCATCAGGGATATAAGATATATTCCTACTTTCAGCTGAATTCTTCTTCATAACTGCAGTATTTTACAATTGACACTAGGAAATATCACCTAGTTACTTCCAGACCATTTCTCCAATTTGTGAAATTAAATTTTATTTTTAATGATATCCTACAAATGGCTCACAAGCCAATATGAAACGTTCTGCAGTGATTAAGTTGTTGATTTCTAGTTTATTCAAGACATGAATCATAACATCAAGACTTTACGTACAATAACACTTTCTAATTGAGCACTGAACTTAACTAAGAGGAGCAGGGTTTGGTCAGCTCTTAGAAGGATGAGCCTGGAGGAGTGTTTCTCCAATTTGCAGTCACTGCAGATAACAGAAAAGCTCACAAAAACATCTTTGGATAAAATTTTGGGGGTTTTGCCCCCTTAGTGTAGTATTCAGACTAGAAACTAGACTTTGGAGTAATTTTTCTGATACTGACCTAACTGGGCATTTTTCTGAGATTTTCATTAGTGCCTGTAAGAATTCCTCTCCACTTTGCACCTTTGGCTTCAAATGTGCAACTCTGTCTGAAATACTTTATGCTCACTGAATATAAGATATAAACCACCAGTTGATTGCAAAACTGTGACAGCTCCTGATAGCTCAGTGATGTCTAGAGACTTTTTTGTCACGTCTGTCTTCTGTGGACCAAATCAAGGGTAAATTTTGAAACATCTCAACTTCCCCTGTGAACAAATAAGATAGTGTTAGTTATCTCCTACCCTTCTGGACATGGCTTTAAGGCAGGGCTTGCTCACACCTCATTGCATTCCAGTGGCACACCTGTGCCGCCTTCACAAAGCCCTCATATGAATCACACGCACAATTGGCACCTCTTGTCCTGCAAGAGAAGCAATATAACTGAACTCAAGCACTTACCCACACTCTAATCGTCCGTTTCAATAGCTGTGTGATTTCTCACTGGAACTTGGCATAGTATCCAGTGTGCATCATCTGACATCAGTTATTTTTCCACATTGACAGCCAAATGGATAGTTATGTGTATACTGAGAGGGAGGGTGAGAGGGAGGGAGGAAGGGAGAGAATCAGGCTTAAAAGTGTTAATTTAAAGCAGCTTCTTTGCCGAAGTTTTCCGTTATCAATCTTCCTTTCGTTTTCTAAGTAGCCTTTTAATCTCTGCATTGCTACTCAAAGATCAAAGCCTTCCTATTTCTTGACCAACTAACCATACATTATGGTTAAGCTGTGAAGCACTGGGTTTTGTAAGAACCATATGTGTAATAATCTGCAGGTTCTTGAGCTGATACCAAAATTATGGCATCTCTGAGGAAGGCTGAACTTGAAGAAGCTAGGAATGGTGTCAGGGCAAGCAGGAAAATCTAACCACTTTTTTCGAAGAGCTTGAACAGGATTTCATGAGGCAGCATGTTAGGATGTTTGAATTCTGCTGGAATGACTTTGCAGGAGGAGGTACTTTAGCTTAGCACAGGAACCTTTCTCCCAAAATTCATTTGCTTATGGAAAAAAAAAAAAAAAAGGAGTTACAGGAAAGAACAGAGATCCCAAGTTTGGGAGTGTAAAATCATAAATTCTCCTTATTTCAAAAAAGCATGAATACTGGACATCTTTCTGCACTTGAACTATTCATACTCATTGTGTGAGTAATCTGCACATATGTTTCAGAAATACTTTTAGACTGGATAGGATATAAGTGCAAAAGAATATAGCTTTTTGGTGGCCAAAACAAAGAAAAGCTAAATCTGCTCACTGATGATTTAACTGGATTAAAAGCCACTTGAAGTGTGTTCAGTGTTCCTAGTTCAAAGTATTAGTGCAGTTTCTACTGAACAAAACAGAGTGTATGTTAACAGTTAATAACAAGACTAATACAGCAAACCCTTTAGTATGTGGATAGTGCAACTGTTAAGTCACTGCTGTACCAGATCTAATTTAGAAGTCCTCTTTCTGTATCATTAAGACACTGCACAGAGATTTCAATGGCTCATGTGGTCTTATGCAGGTTTTTTCCTAAATGATACAGTAAATTGGCAGGGCACCTTCAGAAAAGCTGGCACCAGCCTTGACTGCAACATCCAGGGATTATAGAAAACTTCACCCACCAGGGCTGTTGCTGTGCTCAGTTTAGAAACATCACAATTCAACAGCAAAGGACTGAGCTATTAGGTTTAACATTTTTCGATAGCATTTTCAGTGCCTTGAAACTTGCCTTGTGTTTTATTCCAGCAAGAACTTCTTTGTTCATTGTTTGCTTTCTTATAGTACTTTGAGGGAAAGACATCTGAATCTAGAAACCAAGACCAAAAATTTTACTCCGACATGCTCTTTAAGGGGATGATGCAAATCTATTGAATTTAGTGGACTCTTGACATCTTGAAAAGGTTTCATTTAAGCTTTTAAATAGATTTGTTTAAAACATGTTTGTGACAAAAGCCAAATCAATTAAAAACAATACGGAAAACGAAGCTGACTATTGATCTTAACGGAGGGAACCACCATAAGATCCTTTATAATCTTCCAACATGTTTATTCATAAAGTACGTCACAGTGGAAACATGCTAGATGACTTCCCAATTTAAACTGGTTAGAGATCCTTTGGGGGGTTCCTGATTATTAGCTGTATGATCTCACCAAAACAGATGATGTAGTATCAATAGTAATGAAATTATCAGTTAATAGATTACTATTGGATTGTCAGGAGGTTATATTCTTCTTGAGAGATAACTAAAGTGTATTGTTCAAGAATTTTTTTCAATGCAAATTAAAACCATGTAATCTCTATTCCCAAAATGAAAGAGAAAATCCTGCAAATGCAGCAGCTATGATAGTACACTCAAGACATATAGAAATCAGATGAAATAGTGCATGAACTATAGATGATCAATACAACAGTCGGAGTAATTTAAAAAATCTGGCTTTCCCATAGTTTCATTTAAACATACAATCAGAAACATCTTTTGCCTGACTTATCTCTCTTTCTTTTCTCTTTTTCTCCACTTTAATGTCTTATTTCTGAAAATAGTGGTGAAAATAGAATAGAAGGAGAAGAATATAGGAAATTGTTATTTTAATGCAAAACGTTACATTGTTTTTAGAGAATCTTTCTCTAGAAAACTGTTTCAGAAGCAAGTGTATCACTGGGCAGACTCTGCTCTACAAAAATTCTGAGACTATTGGACAAGCAGTATTAAGGAAATCACTAAGAGAAAGGATACCTTGATATATGTGCTTATATTTTTGAGTTAAATAAAGACCCAATGTCTTATTCCAACAGACATGATAAAAGAAGTTAAAAGAAACACTCCCATAACATTAAGAAGTTGTTGCCTTCTTCATGGAACATCATAACTGATGAAGCAATTAAGTTTGAAACATTTTAAAATCCTTTTGGTCAAATGCATTTATGCTAAATGACTTCATTCTGACAAAGATCTGTTACTACTCGTAAAGACAGTACTCATCTGTACTTCATTTTCAAACAGGCTTTTTCAAGAAATGCTTCATACTGCAGAGCACAAGATGATGAATATCGCTTAGAAGTTACGACTCCTCTGCAGAGGGTTGACTTGTTCATGGGCCAGTTCAACAGTGTCCTGTTGACTTCGATATCTGTCTTCACCAAAGGGAACCTTACCATTGCTAATCTGGGAACTTCAGAGGGGCGCTTCATGCAGGTAAATACTACTACAATAATTTTACAATAATAAAAAAAAAAACATACTGGAGTTTAGCAGGATGGTGAAAAGTGAGAAGCATTATTACCCCAGTTTTAACAGGGCATTAGAAAATTGAAATTACCAAATAAAATACAACTTCCGGAACATAAACAAATAGCCTAATGGAACACTCAACATTTTAAGTGTTTACCTGGATTTTGTGGTTTGAAGCAATGGTTGTGGAACAAATTTTACCATGATCTCTGCTTAGTCCAGCTGGCTCAGTTCACAGCAGTTTTGGTTCATATGAACAGGAGTTCTTTCAAAGAAAACTAAACTGAAAGCTCTGTCTTGGATACATATCAAATATGTTCCAACCCCAGCTGGGGTAGAAAGATTCAAACAGCTTCAGAAATACACTTCATATGGGTCCTTTGCTCTAGAGGATCAGATTAAACCTATTCAATATAAAATGCCAAGACAGCTTATACTGTAGAAGCAGGAGCCTTAGCATTAGTTGTTTCTATATACTGATCCACTCCTCTGGCACCAAATTCCTTGCTTGTATACCCGTAGCCTATGACTCACAGCTGTAGAATTGAGATTAGCTCCTTTTCCACCTACTTTCAAGTTTCTCTGAATGCATCTTAAATTTTCAGGCTCTTGCTCACTCTGTTCTTCTGGACAAAAGTTGTTCCTATCCTAAAAGAGGTTTTCCATAAAAAGTGGTAAATCACCCTCCTGAGTAGTCTGTCTCCCTCCTCTGAGTACTTAACTAATCTAGACAGGTAAATTATACTACACAACTTCTTTGTAGATGACTAATGAAATAAATGTGATCCACAGAGCCAAGCCGTTTAAAACCTTGGCAGTCAAAATCAAACACCAAAAGACAAAGACAAAATACTTTGAAATCACCAAGGGCTCCCTCTGTTCACCCATCTTATTTCAAACACTGTCATCCTGCAGTAACCTTCTTGGAGAGTTTGACTTCTCCAGCTGCCACAAAGTCCAGTCTGGATGTGCATCTTAACCTGGATATCCTTCTTGCGCCCAGGGACCTGTCTTCTTTTAATTTGCCATTATTATTTGTCTTCTAGTGGGCTTTCTGGAGTATTGGCAGTCTTTGGCCCTTCTTGCTCTGTAGGCTACAGAGAGTCATCCAAGTTGGTAGTGTTGTCCTCTAACCATCATTAACTGAAACCTGATGAGAAGGCCATTACTTGCTGTGTCATTCCAGTTTTCCCATTTCCCATAACCTTCAATTAGAAAACACTTGGGCACATGTAACCTTTCAGGAAAACAAGCCTCTCCTTTCTTGTCTTCTTTTCCCTCATTTTCTGTCCTTACCATGTGCAGTAAATAGGGCTACATATTGTCCCCAGTATATGCACCCTCTCTGGATAAAGGGGATCCTGTACCTCCGGTCTTCTGCACAGACCGGACACAGAGCCTGCAGTTTAATGCAAATTCTGCAATGCTTCTACAGGGAAGGAGGTCGAAGCTATTTGCCACAAAGAACAGATGAAAAAGTGGGGAAAATCATACTTCTCTTTTCCCCAGAAAGATAGGGATTTAACAAAACCTTCAGTGACAAATCTGCCAGCCTTTCCTGCATTTCCCATGATGACTTTGGTAACTTTAAGCTGAGTTTGTCTTCTGCACAGGAAAGGCAAGTGCTAAGAGCTACACACTGAGCACAGGACCAAACTATGCTCTGTTCTTAAAAGCAGATACTGATCCACCGAGCGAACATCAGCAATTTGTTTAACCTTTCTGAAGTAATTTCCTTACTACAAAATACAGTTAATAAGAACTACTCTCTTACTTGCAGCATTTCTTCTGAGCTGTCACAAAGCTTTTAGGAAGGTTTGATAGAAAGCACAAGGGAGCATTATTCTTATTTATAAGGTCCTTTAATTATTCATTCAAGTTCTGCACCACACACTTCATTCAGATGTTTGCGCAACTAAAAGAACAATTAAATATTTCCATAATACATTTCCCATTCCATGTTCAGTTACAGATCAAAAGAAAAGGCCATTGTGTAAACTGCACATGGCCATTAACAGAAATATTCTCATCATTGAATCAAATTGGCTTGAGCTACAGGGGGAAGTCAGCATTGGGCTCATATTGTAGTAAGTAGGAACTCTTTCTTTGAATGTTGGGTGCAGCCAGCAGAGAATAAGCAGACTGACTACCTTTAATGATGCTACCTCTAAATAAAAATATTAGTACTTGTTTAGCCTTTAAGTGGTTTTGGAAGTGATACCAGATCTGTAGGATACAGCAGACACAGATTTTTCCAAAATTTAATGTTCTCTTACATTTTTTTGTTCTTTTTTTTTTCCTGATAGTTATCTAGGAAGCGATTTCAAACATGGTCATTAGTAAATGCCCAACTGAAGCAGATTTGTAGTGTTTCTATGGAAATACAGCTATTAACTGCAACGAGATGGAGATTGTTAAAAATTGAGCTATTATATGACCATTACTTAAGAGAAAAGGGTTTTTAAAAAAATCAAGATTATCTATCAATGACTTAATTTATCAAAAAGATATCCCCAAATGTTTCCACACGTTTTTAGCAAAGAAATGTAATTATGTTCTTTTTTGTTTCATTCACAAATCTACTGGAACTTATTGCAAAGAATCCTCAGCTGTTCGCTTATTACGCATCTCACTTTTGCACGGTCATTTGGATTCATATTTTTAGCTCTTTTACAAGCAAATACTGAATTTTCTTGTGCACTCCTTTTGTAACTTGTAGCTATTCAGAGCTGACGATACCTTTCAGACACAGGCATGCTTTCAGAGAAAATTAGTTACAGAATTCTACCTATCGGGGAACCTGTTTTAACACTGGTTGTATTGTGTTAGTATCTTGAGAACATAATTTCATGCCAACTAGTTAAAAGCAAAAGAAAAAAAAAGTCATATAGGTTTCTAAAATTAGAAAATCAGCTCAGCCCTTCCAGTGCACCCAGTTCATCTTGTATCTTCTTTGAAATTCCAATCCTTACTATATTTAGACAATTTAGTTTCTGACATAAATGTCAGTACTATCAGCCATCCATGAGATTAAAAGAAATAGTAGTACAGTACTTCTGTCTCTAACAACCGCACCCTGCAGTGCCCAAATACGAAACAGCTTGGTTAAAGTAATGAACATTTCAATCACATTTTTTCTGTATTTACGGTTTCCTTTAGTTGTTGAGAAATGGTAGGGGGAGGGGGAAATCTTTAAAATGTAGTAACTCTGTCACCTAAATTGAAGTGAAGCTCCAAGCCTGTGCTGTGGGAGCCAGGAGGTGCAGCAGCAAGCTACTCATCCTCAACCTGAGAGAAATTTTTTGTAAAATGTTTCTCGTATTCCCCCAGTATACTTGCTTATACTTGATCAGCAGCCAATCAGTTGATTCTCTGTCTTTTCTTTCTTTCATCTTTCTTGCTGCTTTTCCATCCCTTGTTGCATTTCTTCTGCTCATCACTTTCTGCCTCCCTACTCACCCCTCATCTCCGACTTTATTTCTCTCTCCGTTCGTTTTTATCTCTTTACAACATGACTACAGCACAGCAGTGCTGAAAAATTCAACAGATTTAACATGTACCTTTTTCCTCCTGTAGGTGATGGCTACCAGATTCTGGGGTTCTGATGTATTTTGAAATGTATCAGGATGAATAGTTCCTAACTTTACAAGTGATTCCACCAAAGCTTATAGCAATACCCATCAAAACTGTGTTAATGACTCAACCACAAACACAGCCCACATGTCACTTATTTCAAAAAAGTCTTTTAAAGAACCAGTAATATTCAGAATGCAAAAGCAGGTATATTTTATCCAACCAAGGAATATTCACCTGTTGTTTTTCTGCTTGTGCTTTTAGTTTGATAAAATAGAATTATTCACTTGAATTGCTCTGGAAAACTCCAATACAGGAAAGTAAATACAGCCTCCTTCACTAAATGTTTACTTTTTTCCAGCCAAAATCTAGAACTAAAATAAAATCAATATGGATGGTACAAATACAGAAGATTCATGAGTTCTTTTAAGGAGGATAATTTGGGCCAGGAGGTGAATTCCAAATCTCTCCTGGAGAGTACTGCAGCCCATTCACATACTGAGCATGTTTTGGCTGCATCAGAAATGTTAGCTCTGTATTTGGCCATGAATAGCCTAGAGTTTGTAGTTTACCAAATATTGTGGAGTTTCTGTTACAAAACAGAGGAGTAATAATTTTTCTAAGACAGCTGACATGCATGAGACAGAAAAGAAAAATGGCTTTACTTCCTTCCTAAGCTGGAGCCTGACAACAAACTTTTTTTCTCCCTTCTTTTTTTTTCTTTTCTGTTGAGAAGTTGCAGCTGTTTTGGCCTTTCTTATTGTTCTTGTTTTCGGACTGTGACTGGGAACACAGACTGAAACTACAGCTGTTGGGTGCAAAGTGAATCAGGTATTTCACAGTGGTTACTTCATTAGAAAACAGCACCCAGTCACACTGCTGTAGCTGAGGAATAAGATTTTCAGCTGGTGTAAGCAGCCTTACTCTGCTCAAGCCAAAGAAGCTGCACTGAGAATACAACTCACAACTGATAAAGATGCTTTCATTATCAGCCAGTATTTTGGGATGTTGTAATTTATTAAAAAAAAAAAAAAAAGAAAAAAAAAGAAAAAAAGAAAAAACCAAAACACCTCATGATATATTGAGATAAAATATCTTTTATTTTTGCTCTTTTTTTTAATTTTATTTTTTTCTTCCTGGAGCTTGGTATTATTTCAGAAAGTGGCTTATGAGAGAAGAAGAAAAGAGCAAGTTCTTCAGGAAGGGGAAGTCTTTATGATAGCTCTGGGAAGTGTGAGGTTTGGGAATATTTTACAAGATTTATTCTGAAAAGCTCATGGCTGAAAACCTGTAACAGTGAACAAGAGACTGATGCCCTTGATGTATGCAGAGACTGGATTTTGGCCTAACACAAGGGTTGGAAGCAGAATACTGCGTGTACTCCCTGTGCT